TCTTTGCCTCCGTGGCTGGAGAGTATCTTCTCCCAGGCTTTTAGGTCTGCTCTGCACCTGGGGGCAGGTGCCAGGTCTAAATGTGAGGTTGATTTCAGGATTTCAGTAAACAGCACTTCAAAAACATTTGATCAAGAAAGACATGAAAAATGATTATCTACACTCCCCATAGGTTCGTTTGAAAGGAAATGCTGAGCACACATACAAGGATAATCATAAAACAAGAGTAATTGAGTGGTTTTAGCTTTACATAAGCTTCACTCTCTGGTTTTTATCTGATTTAACTTTTGGCCAATGGCATCTTCACCCTGGGCCTTCAGATCAGGTTTGGGAAGTTCTGATCTGATCACACGGGGCGACACCAACCCACCCACCTCCTGCCCGTGGGGCTTGACCATCGTCGCCTGCAGCCAGTAACTCTGGCAGTGTGTGCCTAGGGCCACCCTCATCCCACACTCCCTACTCCGTCCCCACATCCACCAAGGGTCCCCAGCCTCCTTCCAGCCTTGTCCCATCTCTGACGGGGCTGCTGGCTGTAGGCCTGGGCAGCAGGGTGGGAACCCTGCCATTTACAGCCTGTGTATCTGACCAAGGCGGAGGCTGTGACCTCTGTGGCCATGAGTTTCCTAGTAGGCAAAGGAAAAGAGTAGCCCAGATGATCTCGGCAGCCCCTCAACACTCTCAGGCTGAGCTGAGCGACTCTGTGCTTCAGCCCCTGGCCCGTTACCCCCAGCCCTCCCTTGGCACGGAGAGCCATCCGGAGGCCACCTTCAACGTGACAGGGACTGGCTCAGGCCTGTCTGTCTCAGGGCCCCTCAGCTTTCAGAACGGTTCCTGTGGGAATCTCCAGAGGCCAGGGGGCAGAAGGGGTGGAAAGTCCATAGAGAGGTGTCCAAGCTCCTAACCGCGGTTCTCCCCACCAGAGTTTTGGGTCTATGCAAATGGGGAAAATTCCATTATCCTAAAGAATGATTGTTCAGAGAAGGCTCCGCTGAGCAGCAGGCTCTCGCAGTGGCACGGACTGGCTTCCTGTCCTTGTCTCTGTACTGACCACGAAGGGGCATTACAAAAGAGAACTAAACCAAACAGAATCTGCTTTTCTTAAAATCCAAATGTAGGTCTCCACACAGTGGCGGGAAGCTGCTGGCTTAGTTTCCCCCATGCAGAGCTTAGATTCCATCCATGAAGACCTGGAGCCTCCCCCGTGAGCTCTGGCCATGTCATAAAAGCCCCTGACCCGGTGGCTGAGGGCCGCCTCCTTCAGTTACTGCCGAACGACCAGCAAACAGGCTCTGCCGCGTGTGCAATCTGCTCAGGGGCTCTACCTGTCACTGCACGTCCGCAGCAGCCTCAGGGGAGCTCAGTGACCTGTGCAAGGTCATGGAGTGGGGGGGCGGGCAGGGCAGCTGGGACTCAGACCCCATGTCCAAGTTCCAAGTTTACTGTTTTTTCCCACCTGACCTCTGCATTTACTTATTCACTGGCTTATTCATTCATTCATTCATTCATTCAATCTACATTTTCAAGGGCTTAGCATGTAGGTTCACAGTCCAGTGGGAAAGACAGGCCCATAAATGACAGTGAGAACCCAGCTTGGTGCTAAATACCCAGGACACCCAAGGGAAAAATTGCAACTGTTGAGATGTCATGTAGTGGAAGGGGGATATGTGTCCTTGAGCAGTGAGAAGACAGGGAGATGGATGTGAAAGCAGAAATGTATGTACACAACCCTGTGAACAGGGAGATGGGCACTGATCGTGTTAGGGTGGAGGGCTTCCTGGAGGAGGAGGCAATGGGGCCAATGGGGAAGCCAAGACCACAGACCTAAAAGCAACAAGAGGCAGGGGCAGGTGGGGGCTGGGGTCCTGGCGCTGAGTACAGGACTGATCTGGGGCTGACAAATCCACAGTGGGCACAAGAGCCAGTGTGAGACAGGCATATTTTAAATTTTTTAAAGTGCATTTTTAAAATTGAACATACACACAGAAAACTACCCAAATCATCCCTGTGCACACAGCTCAGTGACCGTTCACAAAGTGATTCACCCGAGTGACACGCCCAGCTCTCGAGAGGCCCCCAGCACCCCCGAGGGAACCCAGGCCCCCTCATGCCGGCCGCAGCCTCTGACTGAAAGCAGCCACTATTCTCATTTTTTAACAGCACTTACTATTTCTATCAGGTTTTTTTTTTCGTATTTTATGTAAAATGAAGTACATACTCTTTTGTGTCCGATGTTTTTGACTTAATACCTGTTTGGGGATCAGAAACAAAGTTGCTAGGAAGGAGGCAGATGTTTCTTGCAGATCTTCACTTAAACACAGGATTGCTGGGTTTGTGTAGACAAGGATTTGGATTGTGTCACTTTTTCTGAGCAGAGGTGTGGTGATGGGGGCCTGGAACTGCATGAGTTAAGGGTGCTTTGGTTTGATTTCCAGCACCCAAAACACAGCTTTGATCCATGTAAGGAGGAAAAAGTGTTTATTGGTCACTGACTAAATCAGGGGTCCACAATGGGACCCTGTAAGCATGAGGGCCATTTAAGTCCATGTGGACGTGTGGCCAGCAGGCACGTGTGGACGTACTGCCATTTCTCATGGCTTTATCCTCACCTGTTGCAAACAGGCTTTTTCTCTGGATGGTGGTGAAGCAGTCCCTCATTTCTTAGCGACAGATTAGTGACTCCAGCAGAAAGGGCCAACTTCTCTCCTTCATTCCAGCATATTCCAAACATTTCAGGGAAGGGCTCTGGTAGACCAGTCCTCGGCCAGTCGGTGAGGTCATCAGCACGGAGGTGGAGGGATATGGCTGGTCAGGCCTGAGGCCAGGAGGGCCCAGGGATTGGGTCCCAGTAAATCACATGACAGGAAAGGGAGGGAAAGTTTCCCTCTGGAAGATGCATTGCTGACTCTGTCATTTTCCCGGTATGCCTCTGTTATCCATACATTCAGCACATGACATTTACTGACCATCTACTCTGAAGTCAACCCGGTTTTAAGATACAGGACAAAGGAGTCCATTGCCCAAGAAGTTACAGTCACCAGGGAGGAGAAGCAGGTAAGCTATGACTGCACACGTCAGAGCTGTGACAGGGACACATCAGGTGTGAAGCGAAGCGTTGGCCCAGGGGGCAGGGAAGGCCTCCCAGATGAGGAACACTTGAGCTGAGTCTATTAACAGCAAGCAGAACTATTATGATGTAATCACTTTAAAATAACCGATACGGACAGTGTGCTAGTACGTGCCAGGTGGCACTGCATCCCAGCGACCAGCCAGGTGCTCCCAGCAGAACGTTACACTCCACAGCCTTTTATCAGAAAGGTCTCAGTGTAAAATCAGGGCCCAGAGAGCCTGCCTCCTTATCTCGGAGCAGCTTGTATTAGGACAGCGAATGCCAAGAATGGCTTTTCAGTGGGGGAAATGATTGGAAGTTAATATATGTGAATTCAGTGTGCACTGGCTATATTGGAGACCTCCCCTACCGCTCCATAGCCAGGGTCCCAGAATCCCCTGAGGCCTTTGGCCTGTACTCTAGTGCGGTGCCTAAGAAATGACACCTAAATGACTGGGCTTGAGGATTCCGGTTGCTGCTGGCAGTACGAGGCTCGCAGCATCCTGCTTCTAGAGGATCATCGCGTCTGCTTTCAGGGCACCTTCTGCATAAAATGGTCACATCCCTAAAAGGCACTTGATCTCGTCACACACAGGGAAGTTCTATGATTGGTCTTCTGCTTGCTTGCTGGCTAAGGTGTGTTTGATGAAAAGGTCTCTCTACCTGTGGCAGAAATTGGTCCTGAGAACTGTTTTTGTCATAACACAGTGAAGGTGTGGGTTGGCGAACTACCTTTTGCTGCCAAAAAGACCGTGCACAACCAAACATGGTTAGGTCAACTTGCAACAGAATTCAACCAGTGAATACAGGCACACAGCGGCTCTCTGGGCAGGGAGGGCACTTGGGGCCAAGGCACAGGGGGCTCCCAGGGTTGGCCTGAAGTGCAGGGTGGCTGGGGAGGGACAGACGAGAATGCCTCCCTCCTGAAAGGCCTCTGTGCTTGGCTGAGGTTGGACTTCATTGCTCACATCACTGTTGTTGAAAACGTGCTCAGGGATGATCCGTATAAGCACCACCTGGGGTGGGGCATTCAATTCTGCTCTTAAAAATAAGCAGCACAGGTGACTTAACAGCCAGCAGAGTGTAAGGATACAGGGAAGCCATGCTGGGTACTCAGCAGCAGGACACCCGGGTTGCTGGTGTAGCCAGGCCCCCTGGCAGCAGGGTGTAGTATGATGCGAGGGGTCTGATTTGAGGCCCAGATACTGGTAGGTTTGGGGGACAGGCCAGATGATGGTCTGGCAGCGGGAAGTTGGTTTAAAGAGACCCATCGGGGGCAGCCAGCCAGAGGGGGAGTCGGCCGGGCCTCCGCTGATGGACAGCTGTCTGCTTGTGGCTGGGACGGAGATCGGGAGCAGTACTGTTGGGTGTGGCCTTCTCAGCCTGAGGATGCAGGTGGCAGCTGCCTGGCGGTTGTGGCTCCCTGGGCCTGTCTGGGCTGCTGCCCCCACTGCCCAGGCCTGACCTGCTCTGAACAACAGCTCCCCCAGGTCTCAGGCCCCACTGGAGTGCTGCCAGGCTGGTGATAACTCCTAGAAAGTGTGGTTGAAATGAAAATAGCATTATTTGATAAGTTTTGTGTAATGAGCAATTATACCCTTCATTGTCACCTGCATTTACTTACTTTTAAAGAAAATAAAAATAACTCAGAAAGTGGACTATGTGATGGCACAAGGGCTATTCGCCTCTGGCCGCTGTTGCCCCAAATCCCTGCCAGATGGTCAAGCAGAGAAGCTCACGTTTCAGCAAATTACAGGATCTCATTAGGGTTCTATTTCATGTTTTTAGATGCTGTGGGCCTTTCTATGAGGTGATGCTGATTTCTTAAACTTGTGTGACAACATAATGAATGCATGTTAGTGAAGTGTCCAATGACATGCGAAACAGTCCGTGAATTCTTTGCATATTTTATTTTTCTTTTTTGGATTTCCAACTCACACACATCTGGCATATTTTACATCTTTGCAATAAAACATGGTTACAATAGCTTAAGGAATTTATATATCCAAAATATTTCACCATGGTTTCAAGATGAAATGAACTTGTCTTCCAGATGTTCAGTATCGCTTCAACGCTAAGCTACAAACTCGAGATATTGCTTACAGCCTGGTGATGAACAAATTAATCATCACGCCGATTCCCCAGAATTTCAGAATCTCATAAATACAAACAACAATGAAGAAGGAATTCAGTGCTAAAACTTACTAGTACAAGGTGGCTAAACAAATCAGTAATCACATCAATAAATAATGATATGTTTCTGGTGCAAAGTGCCAATACAAAGAACCCATTTTCTTGTTTTATCTTCTTAAATAAATGACTGCAAGAGAGTGTAAATTCTGAGAAAATTACATTCCTGTAACATGCCTCATAGCCCTACCGACACAATATGTACATCTATGACAGTACAGTCACCAAATATACAAAGAAGGGACATGAATAAAGTGTATATACCCTTGGGCGGATAAGTTGATCAGTACAATGTATGGAAAATCATTTGATAGCCATCATTTTATATCATAAAAAACAAAATGCCTTAGGCTAAGGATGTGTGGCTTTAGGTGAGAATTTCACAAGAACCTAAAAGAATAACTTCAGTTCCTGTTATAATTAAGTCCGATTCGTTATTAAAGAAACTAAGCTATTTGAGAACCGAGAAAAAAAAAAAGGAAGTTAGCATCAGATTCTCCTCCCCTAATGTACACGCACCAAGCCGGAAGGATGACCGGAAGAGATGTCCCATGGTGCTAATGATCATGATTCCTATTTCTAGAACAAAAAGCAGGACCTCATCCCTGAGCCCCCTTTCTGCTGTGTCTTCCAATTATGAAGGGTAGGGCTGAATTTTCTTTGTATAAAGAAGTACCAAAAACGGCAAATAATGGCTTAGTATCCAAATGCCTTATGAGCAAATTTCACTTAGAAGGAATGAATTTAGATTAAAAAGTGCAAACCATATTTTGGTGAAAATGTCAAAAGTTACTGATTGAGCCCAAATTCAACCCTTTCAGACAAGCTGTGTCCTTGGACAGATCTCTCAGTGTGGTAGTGCGAATTCACCTGTTCCACGGAGACATCAGGATCAAAGAACATGCAAGATGTAACTCCACAATAAAATTAAGAAACATTTTGTTCTTTATACAAGGTTTTACTTTTACAAAAGTATCCCTTTAAATAAGATGCATCTGATGTACAAAGTATCAAACGTGTTTTTTTTTTTTTTTTCTTCTCAGCTTGAAAAGAGGCTGGAAATGGGATGCAGGTTAAGGTTCAAAGCTTAAAACTTTTTGTAACAACCGGACACAAGGTTTCCTCAGAATTGTCAAAAGTCTCTTGTGACGCGTCCTACTACCTTTTCTCGATAAACAACAATAGGTGAAATAATTACCAAAACATCTCCTAATAATTTGTGTAATTTACATGATATAAGCTTGCTTGGTTAGCAGCTGGTGTTCCGTCGTGAAAAAATGCACAAAGTAAAATGGCTGCTGCCTAGAATGTACAGCTATTGCTGGATGTGATGGAATGTACAAGCGGAGGTCGACGCAGACGAATTGTTTCCACCGGAGACATTGCCTTCCATGCAGCACTTGTGCTCTCAGCTTTAATTTGGCTTTTGATTCTTTACTGTCTTCAGTATCTGTTCTGATGCTCATAATGCCACCGATTAAAATCTATATTAAAAGCTACGATGCTACCCGAAGCCATGCCAGTGATCAGAGTCCTGGAAAAGCAGAGACAGTAGTCAGGAGGGACACAGCATCGCCGAGGTGGTTGCTACACCACCCTCGACAACAGCGTGATCCTGGAGTTCTCCAAGTCCTGGTGTGTGTCCATGGAGATGGGACTAAAATGTCCTTGTGGTTCTTCTGTCAGAAGACAGAAGGTGAATCAGTCCTGCACCCACCAGGACTGCTAGACCAAGTGGTGCCTCGTTTTTTATCAGATGCCTCATCAGACAGACACACAGAGTCATCCTCAGTGTATGTTTATCTGTCAGTTTGCAACAGATGCATGGGCTACTGTTCCAACATATCAGGGACATGATGAAACAAAAATAATTGAACTGAAGGGTGAGATTAAAATAGAGACAGAAAGTCGATGAATATCTTTCCTCACTCCTCTTCGGAGCCCCTGAACTGCAATGACTCTGCCTACGCTCTTCTATCTACCATCTACGTCCCCCGACGCCTAGCGAATGGGACATAGCCTTTCCCACCCTCCCCATCCTCAGAAAAGTCCATCACTTTCTTCTTCTGTCGTTCTGCCCCTGTTTCCCTCACACACAATTGCTATGACTACTTAGGCACTTTAGGGTCAGTAGACTTGTTATGTACCCTTCATACGTGCATTCTGCCTCGTCTGTGATGGTGGAGAGCACATGTGCAACATGAATACATGACTAAGAATATCAGAAAGAATATTTAAACTATGTAAGAACACAAATTATTTCAAATACTTTAGAAACACCCCTGTATATACAAATAATTACCCAGCGAGTCATTCCCATTTATTTATGAATACGGACTGCAGCATTTTGGAATGCTCTAATGATAATCTGCTTACATTTTCTGTGGAAACAGGCTGGGCTGCTGATTAAATATCCTTTCCCAAATTAAATTGCATGACACTGTTTCTCTTGTCGCCTCTATTACCATTGCATTGCGCCCTGAAGGTGCTTTGTTAAAGTGTTATACTTTGATATTTATAATTCTTTAAAACCAATATTGTTACAAGTATACACAGAGTGGAAAAGAGTTGGTTGATAAGCCTTTCTCATTTCTGCTAAATACATAGCAAAAGAGAAAACCTTTCTACCATACTAAGATTTTGTTTTAATTTATTTTTAAAATAATTTATTTTATACTCTTATATTTTTTCCCTTTATAATAAAACCAAAGATGAACTTTAGGAAACAGCAAACTCCTGTTGCAAAGAACGGGATTTGCATTAATTCTTGCAAAGAAAAGATGAGCCTGTCTTAGGGAAATACATAAAATATGAACAAATGACATGAGAAATATGTGAATAAGAAAATGAGGGGTGGGGTTGTTTCAGGTAACGAATGAGTCCTCATATGGTTCCAAACGGAGGCCAGCTGTAGTCTATGCCTGAAATCGGTCGGCTGGAAGTGTGCTGTGAGCTGAGACTCCTCTGCTGAAAGTACGTGTCTCCGTCACCCCCTGTAAGCCTGGAAGCCCTGCCTGGGGCTCTTAGGACAGAGAAGCCAGTGGGGATAATTCTCTTTTGGGCTGCGTGTGTCTGCATGTGCCTGGCCTTGCTCAGACCCTTCTTCCTGCTTTTCTGTTTTTACTAACCCCCCTCCCACCCCCTTGTTTTCTTCTCACCAGAACCCTTTCTTACAGTACTTTCTCCTCGGTTTACCCTTTGCTGTGCTAGGCTTTCCCCCTCTGGTCCCTGGCACGCGTCCCCCTTGGTGAACGTCAGCGAGTGTGGGGGACAGTTCTTGGGGACACCACCTCCCCCGATGCGGCTCACCTCTGGTCATGGGACAGGTCCATGGCTCTAATGCCGGCGTCACATCCGGGGTAAATGTACAGCTGCTTGAAGTCGCAGGCCTGCCAGACCTCCACCACGCCATTGTCCCCTCCGGTCACCAGGTTCTGGCCGTCGCTGCTCAGGAGAACGGCCTTCAGAAAAGGCAGGAAAGCAACCGTTAATCTCAGTGTTTCCCAAGCAGTGATTGGTCATTACCAAAAAGCGCTCAGCATGGTTCCCTTGTAACTATTATTTACTCTAAGCCATTTACTCAGGTTTTCTAAAATCCAATTCACAGAATTTCCAGTGTGGAATTCATCAAAGTTCTGACATAAGCCAACGGTCCTATTAAAACCAATCTAGGTTACCAAGTAACATAAGCCCTAAAGAGAATATTATCAGTCAGATCCAGGGAGAACTTGAGAATCATGTCACATGACATTTTGTTAAGTCCTGAATATTTATACTGTCAAGACTTTTAGGACAAATGGCAGAAGCATATTTCCAAACAACTTTGAATAATGATAAGCAATTATGTTCATTTGTCAATGAAGGGCAGTTTGGTACATGCAATTTTGGTTGAGGGTTCTAAACATAAGATTCTATGACAATAAACTCACAATGCTAGGGATGTGGCGCTCAAACAGTTGTTTGTAAAAGGAGCTTAAGGGTCTAACCTCTGATCAAACAACAGCTATACCTTCAAAGTCTAATTCGCTGCATTAATTAATTGGGACTAACTGAATTTGGGTCTGTACAAAACATCAATCTACATGAATTTATGTAACTTTACAACCAGCACACATTTACCTGGATGCCAGAGAAATTCTATTATGAATCATTTAATGCAAAATAACCTGTCTTTAATCTCTTGGCTTCGGTCCCTATTTAGCACTGAACACGGATGGAGACTTACCCGTGTGGAGTCATTGATCTCCATTTGAGCCAGAAGTTTCCCGTTAATGCTGAAATTGCTGAACCGCCCTCGCTCATAGTATATGATACAGTGGCCTTCACTAGAGACAGAAATCAGACGCGGGAACAAGCAGTGCTCGGGTCCCTCGAGGGCTCTCAGCAAATCGCCAGTGATCGTGTGGACGAGGCAAGGGCCTTCTGCAGGACACAGGAGGAGGTCAGGGGCCAGAGGCACGGGGACGACAAGTCACACGCGAGCTCTCCCAACCCCACAAACCATAGCTGGGGGCACACACTTCGATTTGTGGAAAGAAGGTAGAAGACAGAAGAACCATGCCAGAAGCGCCCCATGCTGATGGTGTATTTAAAAAGAACGAACACGGAGGACTGTTAACTAACACATGTGTATTCTCCCCCAACTTTTTATCCAGGCAAGTAATCGGTCTTTTCCTTCATGAGATAATAGTCATAAAATTATTCACAAATTGTAATATTTAAAAAAAAGACAGTTCATAGACTTTGTGAAAATAAAAGACGGTATGTCCCAGAAGTTTTCTTTTAATGTGTTTCTTAAAAATTTTTCTTTAAAGTTTCAGAGAACTTTTGCAACAATTGCTAACTTTCATGGTTACCATCAATATTTTAATATTGCATCCCATAAATATTATCAAATAATAAGTTTACCTTTCCTACAGTCTGTACACAAAATGTAAAAGGCAAAAAAAAAAAAATCAAGAAAGTTAACCAAGTAACAGACTATAGAAACACTTTTTGTTTTTAAAATATGAATAGTGAGGTTAGAGGGTAGAAGTCGTGTGGGGAGTGCCTTATTTTGCCCCAACTGTTTTTTCGCCCTGGTAGACACAGGGCTGGTAAGATCAACAAATCACTAGTCAAGTTCAAAATTAGTTAACATAGTTTGGTGTTACCTCAGCTCCCTATCCTCAAAGAAACCTCACAAAAACTGTGGATGAATTCCATTTCTATTTTTCTATCGACTGATTTAAGTAGATACGTATTTTATAATAATAGTGACATTGCAAAGCTGTATCTATTTTTTGCCCTGATTAATAAAGTAATAGATGTCCATTGTAGAAAACAGAAAATTAGAGAAAATAAGAATGCTAATCACATCTCCTATCATCCATCACCCGTAAAAAAATTAATGTGTTTTCCCTACGCCTACTACATGGCTTTTATTTTCCCTTCCCTCTTTTTAAAATAATTTTATGAGGTAGAATGATATTACACCTATAATTACCTTTTTAAATTAAAAAGACATTTATTGAAAACATCCTGTGTCCATTCCTGGGGTATTTACCCTTAGATACGACAATGAAAAAAAAGCACATTGCGTCGCTTATGTCCACAGAGCAGCCAGGATAAGCTCCTAAAGACCACCCTGAGCATCTCACCACCTCGCTTAAAAGACCTCAGTGGCTCTCCAGTGTGCTTGTGATAAAACACAAATTGCAAATCTTGCGCCATCGGCCCCTCCCACCTCTTCCTCCTCTCTCCTTATCTCCGTTGAGTCCTCACTGCACGCAGCCCCTTTATTTTATTTTATTTTTTTGTCATTTTCTCCCAAGCATTTCACGCCTTCCTGCCCCCGAGCCCTTCTGTGGATAATTGGTATCTGAGCCAGAATGAGAACCTACATTTCCTGACTTTTCCTGAAACAGCACTTCTTACACAAAAAGTGAAAAAAAAAAACAAACCCAAGGAATCATGTTTCCTTTCCCAGCAACCTCTACATCGTCCCTGGGCTTGTGAAGGCTCGTGGAGGGCGGTGGGCCGGGGTCACGTGTGATGAGCAGCCTGCCCCTCCGGGGTCCCCACCGCATCACAGGTCCCTGCGCCTTGTCTGTAACATGCTGTCTTTAATGGCTGCGTCATACGGCTGTGCTGTGGTCTAGTTTACCAGCGCTCGGCTAGAACGCTGGTCACCACAGCATGCTCGTAACATCGTATATATACGTTACATTGGTACTAGTAAATACTGATACGAAGACTCGCTAATTCTAAATCAAACAATAAATCAAAACAATTGATAGACACTATATGTAATAAGTTAACATTTAAATAATAAAACTAAAGAGCTGCAAAGAACCTAGGCGTTACATTCGTCTAGAGTGCCTCCTAAAGGAAATAAATCGCAAATCATGGCAAATGTGAGAAAATGGCACAGTTTTTACATGTCTTCTGACCTTTAGCACCACTGATAACCAGGCCAAGCTCTGCACAGACGGACACACACACAACTTCATGGTCGTGGCCTGTGAGGACGGCTCTTGGGGCTGGGTAGTCGCCTGCAAGGAAACAGTGTCCGGGAGTCAGTGCAGACCCGAGGCAGAGGGGGACCCGCAGCGCTAAATCACGCACAAGCCACCATTACTCAAGGTTACGAAGGGCATTTCGGAGCCGTGTGACCGTGAGCCTATCACGGCCTGGAGAACACCCATCACACAGCTTGTTTACATGGCTGGACAAGTTAACAAAATGCCGTGCTTACATGATCGTTATGAAACAGCAAGCCCGCCAAAGCGTTTATGTGCATCATCTCATTTAATTATGGCACTAGGCATGTGAAGGTAGGTAATTAATTTACTTTCTCCAAGTTCACAAATTCTACACAGTTACCTGATTTTCCTTTGTTTTTGAAATTAAATCATCAAAAAAATTACTTACATATTAAATATTTGTTGTGACATATGCATGCGATTAAGAAAATGAATTCTCGTGCACTCACCCTCTCGCTGAAGAAATACAGAGTATCACCTGTAACTTTAGTGCCCCATTTCTTATATCTGAGACTTAGAGGCTATGTGCCTTTTTAAAAAGTTCTGTTTGTTGAGTGTGCGGTCTTTCTTCTGCAGTGCGTGGGTTCCTGCATGCTGGCCTCGCATCCTGGAGGGGGCTGACACTCCACCCTGCCATCTCGTCTCTCAGAGGACTGCCCTGTGCTTTGGTCTGGACACTGACAGCTCCTGCCTGGTCGCAAGGCCACGGCCCTCACCATGGAGGGAACAACACGGAGAAGAGAGTGTCCAGGGCTGGCAGCTGAGCCTGCCTTTCGGAAAGCCCTCTCCTGGCGCTGATATGGCCCCACAGGGCTGAGCAGCTCCAATCCTCTGCCCGTAGTGACAGTTCAGGGACAACTCGGGGGGGAAAGCATAGAACTAAATGCCTTACGAGCAGAACATCGCCCTTCCCCTCCGGTCTGCCACCCTTTTCTTCACACCTCCCATTTTCTGCCTCCCTAGCAACTGCTCTCAGTTCAGTGGGGTTTTCTCAGATCCACCCGCGTCCATTTTCCTTTTGAGGCATCTCTGAGATGGTGTGTGGAGAGGGGGGCAGTAGCCCATGTCATTTTGTCATTTTATTCTAAATGTACATATACAGTTATAATGTATTTGGGTATTGGCACAGTATCTGCTTACATTTGTCGGCAGTCCTGGATTTATCTGAAACACACTTAACATAATTTATAAAATGATGCTTCAAAGATGCCCTGAGTTCCCTGGTAAAATGAGGATTAACTATTGATTTTATGTGTAACATTATTCTTAATTATTCTAAGTGATTATTTAGAGACTGATGAATTGAAAAAATCCTGAAATTTTATGTTTAATAAGCTTCATATAAAGTTAAGAGTTTTCTAAACCCTTCCCTTGAATGCTACAGAAAACTTAAAAAGCAATCTAGTGCTATTGCAGGGAATTGAAAAAAATGCATAAAAAATTAAAAACATTCCTTATATGTATATATATATATGGACTGATTTACATATGTATTATATTTTGTATGTATGTAATATATTTTCTATTAGGAGATAAGTTTTTCAAAGGCTCGTGTCTGACTTAGAAGGTTTAAAATGTTTTATTTTCATTATAATTTCCCCAGACCATCTGAATACATTGTGGAACTTCACTATTAGGGGATATTGTTCAGGGCCTCTGAAAGCACTGTTTCCCTCTTTAAACTGGAGAAAAATAGATAAAATGCTCTTCTGGGGTTTTTGAGTTGGGCACCCTGCAGCAGGGGACACATATTTCCTTTATTTCATTTCATTGCCAGGGACAGATGTCACACACCCCAACAATCATTCAAAATCTTGGGAATATTCTGTCACTGTCACATCACAATTGATGGATGTGGCTGGGGCCAAAGGGCCCAGTGCACAGGGAGGGGCAGGTGAGGCCGCCCCTCCCGGGACTACAGCGCATGGTCCCCCACCCCACCCATCATTTCCTCTCTGTGTGATGGAATTACTGTGACCGATTAAAGAGCAAACACGTCCAATTTTGAGATTCCTTATAGGAAGCATTTGGAACCTCCAAACAGAAGAGACTTATCATAAACGGATTCCATCTTGTTTTTATCGAAAGTCATTTCAGGATTTTCACAATGGATGATGAAAAACGTACCAAGGTACCAGAGGCTGCCAGTCACACAAAACTGACAAGGAGAGATTTTCAGGCAGATGATAGTCTGTGGCCTTTAGAGAAATGATCAAGCGAAGATTGCTCAGGTTCTTACTATTTGAAACCTCACCGTGGAACTACTAACGTGCGGGGGAAGTTTCTCTCCTTTTGAATTAGAGCCAAAGAAGAACAGCGGAGTTTCTAAGATCTGTGATCCTCAGAGCAGTGTTACCCAGTCAGGAGGTGAACCTCTTGATGGCAGAGGATGTTTAGATTTAATCTACGAGCCTTGTTAAGTCACTGCAGAATCCTTGCAGGAGGTATTTGCATTTGTGTTTACACCGTCATTAAAATCTGACACATTTTTGACTTGAAAACCAAGAATAAGAGATTTAATCAAAGGATGGAGTATTTTCATCACTACTCTGATTTCAAGATGTGTTTTAATAAATTGTGTTAGACGTTTGCAGGGATAGCTCAGAACCGTGTGGGTGAGGAGTCCCTCATGCAGCTACCGTGTCCTCCGCCACCTGCAGGTGTCGCTGACCGGACGTCTGGCCCAAGGCCCACATTTTTACACAGGTCACAAGGTACCCCACAGAAAAACATTCTGTGGGGTGGAAAATGTCCCATATTGTGGTTTCATTTTGTTATATACTCAGAGTATGTAATGAAAAATAGAAGATAGGTGTGAACCTATTTATTCAATGCTGCTTTTTCTTCAGAGATGTCACTGACCGTATTTTCCTTTGAGCACTGTCACTTCAGGGCAAATCTCCCTTGAAGTCCTGAATCTGATCGAGGTCACAGTACATGCTGTCCTGTCATTACCTCTACAGTAGAATCCCCCTTCCTTGCCCAAGGAACAGATCTCCCAGTACAGATCTGAGCCCTCTGATCATGAGAACACAGCCGTCACCCTTCTGTTTTTTATATTGCTTCTGTCCTAAGCCAAAGGTCCATGCAACCTCAGTTCCCTAAAGGGAAAGGAAAAGCATAGACTGAGCGTCCAGCAGCCCCTCATGTTAGGCTGAGGGGGCGTAAGGGGCGGGAGGTTTGCTGCAGAACCAGCCCTGTTAGAGGGACGTCCCGTTACAGATGGTATCATCTGGCCCTCAGAAAGTCCTACACAGCAAGAACTATGCTTCCCCTGATACGAAAGCCTAGATCAGATTCCTTGCTCCGAGAAGTGAGACACACACACACACACACACACACACACACACACATAAATAGATTTGTGAAAACTATCTCTGGGCTATTCTCGGTCCTCGCTGTAATACCCTTGGTTAGTTGTGACCGTGGAGCTGGGCATCGGACCGTCACCATCAAAGGCCGGGTGCAAACAAACAGGGGGATGTGATTTAGCAGATGTTTCACTGAGCAGGTTTGGGCTGGCAGGAGGGCCAGGGTCCAGAGCTGAAGCTCACACACTGGGAGCACAGGGTAGGGGTGTGGGCACAGCTGGAGCCTCCTTCTCAACGGGCTTCTCAGGTTGTAGTTTGCATAACACTTATACATGAGTTAAGAGACTTGTTTTTAAGAAGTGAACTAGAAAAAGCATGCGAATGTTTTATGCATATTGCTCAATGAGTATTTGTGGATTTGATTTGAAGAGATGAACTGTAAATTCTCTTGCAAAGTGCCCGACTGCTATGACTTAAGAAGTGTCATATGTATGTTATCAACAAGCTCCCTGTAAAGCACCTTGTATCTGGTATAAACATTAAAACCACACACTTGAAAAGCAAACGGGACTGCGAGCGGAGGCCCCAGTGTGTTTTAAGTGTCTGTTGAAGGGACAGAAATGTTGACTTGCCCTTCCCGTGACTACCTTGTTGGAAGCTGCAGCATGTAATGAGAGCTGTCCAGTCCCAAGATCAATGAAACTTTGGGCTCTAGGGATGCAACAGGAATAGCATTGATCCTTTGAAAGAACAGCAGTCAGAGATGGGCTGTAATATATTGCCAAGAGGGGCTTAGGAGGATAAGCGGCCAAGTGCAAGATACCTGCCTGACAAAAAATTCAATCAGCTCTTAGCACAAATGGCCCTGCTCTCCTCTCCTTTCTTTCAGGCGGTGGGCTGCTTCCAATTAAAGTGTGCAAATTAATTTTTATCACTTTCAAATTAGTTTCAGAATTTGTGTAAAAGTCTGTTTCAGATGAATGCAGCTGTCCCTCACATCTCCGCAATTCTGTTACCTAGTCGGGGACCTATTTGAATTGCCAAGAAAATTTTCTGCATTCAAAGTCACAGGTTTGAAAGGGTAGCAATGAAGAGTAGTGTTATATGTAATAAAGTAATTATGATTTAACTGTAACCGATGGTCAACAGCCTTCGCTTGTTTCTTTTATAGCCTGAACCTCTTTGTTATAAGCTGTTTACAAATCATCATTGTCTTTGCGGCAAATCCATTCAAACTATAAAAATAATTAGAAAAAGACTCATTTCTGAGATGTCTGAATCGCCACAAAGATTTATTTAAGAACAATGAAACCACAAATCTTTCTATACCTATATAAAAAATCCACAAACATGGCTTATTTTTTTCTCTGTGGCACTAACAGAGCTATCTGTTAAAAAAATAATGACAATGAAAAAGAAGCATAAATATATAAAAGCTGCTTGACTTTATTTTGAGAAAGTTGCAGAGATGTGCCCAGGAGGTGCGTAAATGAATCCTATCACCTTAGGGTGTTATGCTGAATAAATATGATTTGGCCTCTGACATACAAAGCAATTCAGTGTCCATACCAAGACCAATCCTGGGATTCCAACAGCTCCTGGGAAGTTATGTTTCATGCCGGGACTTCCCCGTCAAATCTGGGCTAAAACGTACAACCCTCAAAACCTAAGGGCACTGCGTCACACACTTTAATATGAATTTAGACGTAACTAGCTTTTGGGTCTTGAGTAGCAATGCTTTATGAGACAGAAAACACATACAGCCCGATTCTCTGACCTGTGAATTGGTAGCTAGAACAGATTAAACTGGAACAGAGAAAAATATTATTTTTTTCATATGGTGAGTTTTCTGATGGCACAGACATTGTTTTCTGTGTCTATGTCGTCACCCATGACTGATCCCCGATGTGACAGTCATCTCAGCGTGTGCTCTGACTGCTTTTACAAAACACGAATTGGCCAATATATATGATCTCTCAAGTTATGCATACATGTGCTACATCTTAACAGATGGAGTCATAAATAATCTGAAGCAATCAAATATTAAAAATGACTGATTATTATCATTTTTTACAATTGCGATTACCCATATGGCAAAAAACTAAAACTGGTTATTACATAATCATGGATTTGTACCCATGCTGAAAGGCTAAGCATTTTGTACATGCTCCAAGTACTTATGATACCGAATAGCACCCGCTAGCTGTTCTTGTTTCATGAAATAGTCAATGGCCTCAATGCATCCAAGCAGGAAAGGGAGTGTTAGGACGGACCAGTGTACTACAGCTTCTTGTAAACTCCAGGTCAGAGGCTCTCACCACCCAGCACTCCTGGCTGCTGAGATCGTACCAGCAAAACAAGTGGTAGGCATTCAATTCATGCCTGCTGCTTGACCAACGCTTTCGGCGCTCAGTCTGTTATTCTAGAAGAACATTTTTATTTCTTGTATTAAACATACTGGATGAAATGGAGCCATACTACATATGCCCACCTTAAATGTCCTTTAAAGTTTTGACAAGGTGGGTTTTATGGAAGTGGTTTAGGTTTGTAATAATGACAATTTTCGACCAAAAAAACAAATTCTTATAAACGGAGGCAATACTGAAAAATATGTATTGATAATAGTCTGTCATAATTTCTTAAAGAAAGTCTTGTCTCTACTTAAGTCTTAAATAAAATGTTGAATTTTAACAAACAACATATTTACAATTTTGTTAAGGATTAATAAAAACATTTTTATTTATATAGCTCCTGTTTTAAGGAACTTGAAAGACTTTAACATTTTTTGCTAACTGATGCAGCAAAGCTACAATCCATTGTTAACCATCTTTTGGTTTAACAGATCATTAGAAAATAGTGTAAAAATAAAGTTGCTAACAGACAATTACTATAATTTAACCTTTGTCTTTAAAAGCTTTAAAAACTTTACCTTATATACATTGTATAAAATAGCTAATCTCTGTTACCAGATGGTAGCTTTTAAGAAACAATTCTTGTTTTGGAAATATTTTCATCACTTCTTCAAAATGAGCTTCATTTTGAAGATGTTAATTAATTGGGTTTAGAGCAGTATTTTGTTTCTTTAAAAAGCTTTTCCTATTTAATAACTTCTAATTTTTGTTTGAATTGATTGTAGATACTATACAGATATGCTGCTTAATATGGCTTTTCTAATGAATGCTACATTACGTAGAAATAAATAAAACTTGGAAATATGTGAAAATACATTTAGATAAAATATATGTGATAATGTACTATGCCTGAGAATAATAAAGCCATCACTGGTAGGTTAGATTTCTTATACACACATAAACACAGACACACATACACATTTTTAGAATTCTGCTAAAGATGAAGTTCCTTTTTTTAAAGATATGGCTTTAAAAAAGTAAATGAGGTATAACTTATTGGTATTCAGAGTATGATGTTTGTTATCATGTAAAATCGGTAACTATTTGAGCTGGTTGGAAATTAAGCAACACTGAATTTTTTCTTTTTTTAAATAAACAGCACATCTTAGTTCACAGAGGCTGAAATGTAGAATACACATACTTTGTCCTATCCAGTATCTGTCCTAAGAGATATTACTTCATAATACACATTTAGCTTCTTCATTCACTGTATATATATATATAATGTATGAATGAATGAATATATATAGAAATAATGTATGTATTTCTATATTTCTACATTCTCTTCTGTACTGGGATAGGGGTTTTGCTCCAACCAGTCTTTCCTATTTTTGCAGTATTCCTGTCAAAATGTGTAAGACTTGGGGAGGGTGGGACTTGAAGTTAGACGCACAATCTGGTTCCCATCCTTAGCCACCTCACAGGCTGGAAGAGACCGGGGGAGTCCACCTCCAACCACACAGTTACTGTAACCTGGCATCCTGTACATTTCTCACCTACTCTTGTGATATTTCTATGGCAGACACACAGCTTCCCTGGGAAATTCTTTTCTCTGTTCTAAATATTCCTTGGACACATGTTTCAGTTTACTTCTGTACTGGTTAAGCTGTGACCAATGTACAAATTCCAGTTAAAATAACCCTGGTGTAGGTACTTGCCATTATCAACACTTTACAGAAACTATTCTCTATTTTACAGGAAATATGTGCATTTGAGCTACTGAAGGCTTAGATATTTAAAACAGTAATTATTTCCGGCAATCTTTATCTAGTTCTTTAGTCATTTAACAATATGTCTTGAAAACCTGTTATGTGTGTCCCTGTGCCAGGAACCAGAGACTCAAACAGACAGGGAGAGAGAGACTCACTATTTCCCCAGAACAACAGGCCAAAGAAAACTGCTCTTTCATGAACAAAAGGTTCCATGGAAAAACATGTTTGAGAAACTGTGGGTTAAACAAAGGTGAAAAGATTTGTTTGTGTAAAACTTTCAGAGCTTACAGAGACTGTCAGAGTATATGCAGTGTTTTCCACAATCATTTTCTGGAGTCCCATTTTTTCCTACAACATATCTTTGGGAGACTGTTTCTTTTCCAAGCAAAGAAATGGTCTCATTCAATGTTTGCTTCTCCAACATCTAACCTGAGTGAACTCAGTCACTGTTAAATGATGTGGTGTAAATGCCCTATATTATATTATGTGGTGGTAAATGCCCTAATGATGGCACAAATAAAATCTGAGGGAAATTCAGAGAAGGGAGAAGATATATTCAGCTGAGAGAAATCATATGAAGTTTAATGGGCCGGGTAACACTGAGGGCAGTTCCTGAAGGATGGGGACGTTTAGAGACTGGGGAAGGGCGGTGAGCGGGGCTCAGTGTGCAGGGACCTGGGAGCTTCCCTGGGTCAAAGGGGACAGCAGTTGCTCTCTTTTACCCTTTGAACACGAGTACATCCCAACCAAGATTTTTGCTAGTCTCTCACATTTTAAAATCCTTATAAGCCAGGAAAAGCTTTTAGGAAAATAAAAAAAGCGAAATAGATTTAAATGAATGTATAGCCCAGCAGGACACTTCTGGAATGACACTTACTGCTGTTAGGGTTGTCGCCTATGATATGGTGTCGCCCGCTCCAGTACCAGAGAAGCAGTGTGGCATCTCGAGACCCAGACACGATGTAGCAGTCGCCGCCGATGTAGGACTCAGACCGAGCCAGGCACGTGACCACATCCCAGTGGCCAAAGACGATCTGAGTCAATTTCCCTGAAACACAGGAACGGCAGGTTTCATTCAGTTGCTATGTTTCTTTAGAGGTGGTCAGGCTTACTTTATTTCACTGGTGTGTGAAAGGTGAGCCGACAGACCTACAAGTGTATGAGGTCATTCACAGCTAGCTACAGATGCTTTCTTGAATTGCTTCTGAAAAATGACACAAGGGCATCCCTTGGGATTTTTAAAGAAGTGATTTATAAAACAACACATTCATGATTCTTTTTCCTTCAGGGTTTGGGCCAGACTAAGGAGAAGTTTGAGGTCTTTCAGTGGATTTGATTTGGGGCAGGGGACGCGAGTCCCATGTGTCCTATGATCTCAGGGCTGGTGCTAAGGATTGGAATGGATGGAATTATTAGTTACCTACTTGCAGTGTGAACACTTCACTGGGATCTTGGCACTCAAGATGAAAGTGCCTCCATTCAAGTATGAGTTCATACTGACCTCTGGGTGTAACCACAGGCATTTTGAAGAGAATAAGGTCTTTCCTAGTTGCGGTTACCTGTTTCTGTAGAGTAAACTCTGAAGCTTTTATCCCAGAATCCGCAGATGAGAATATAGCGATTATCTGCTGTGACCACAAAACAATGCGCGTTGATCTGTATACTCTGGTCAACGAGGTCCGTGATCTGCCGTTTGTTCACACCAGAGTTATTGGCTAAACGTAAGTAGAAAAAAGTATTTGAAGGAAGGTCCCACAAAAGTTTCACAAAGTACTTAGAGAAGGAATACTTCTTTGCTTCATTTATCAAGAAATGGGTTTTTAAGGCTCTAAAATCATTAAGATTGTAACATTTCACCTTGAGGAATACAGACACTTTAGCACCTGTGGTTATTTACGAACCGTATTACACATGTAAACATTGTCAGAAATTTATGTTCTCCCTCCACCAATAAATAAGAACAGTATGATGAATTCAAGAGCATGAATTTAAAAACACAGTAAAAATATTTGAAGGCATTTAATTCTATCGATGTTCACTATGCACAAGTTGATTAGTGTCCAACAAGTTCAATAATAAGGAGGAATAAATATTGCATGAGGAAAACATGGCTTCGGATTTGCCCCAGTCTATCACTTTCTGACAGCATTTACAATTCATGGGAGAAGAAGAGGGTGGAGGTTTGAGCAAAGGATGCTCTTATGCGGGCGGCCCTACAGGGAGCTTTAGGTCAGCAGCTTTAAAGACCTGGATTGTCAACAAACAGAAGGCCCTTCCTGGATGGGCTGGCAGGGGAGGAGAGGAATAAAAGGGCTGGGAGAGGGACTGGGGAGGAAACAGACAAGCAAGGAGCCGCGGATAGCGCTGGGACTGAATCTGAATCAAGTCAGGAACTCAGAGACGCGTCTGATTTCCCTAGTGCCTGTCTGCATGCCAGCCTGTCCCTTACGCTCTCTGTCCTTTCAGGCTAAATCCCTGGGCTGAATTCTTAAACAGGAAATGCAGATGGAGAAGATCGCCATCACGCCCAAACACCAATTAGATCAGTCCTACGCTACAATAACAGTTACTAGGGGAGGTGAACAAAAAAAATTATACAAAAGAAAGGTGGCAAAGAGAAAGAAAACCAAAGGCCCTGCGTCACTTGAAAATTACAGTTGGTCCTTGATTAATTAGACTAGAGTATTAATTTTTCGATGATTACATTCTAGCTATTTGGGACACTGTTGACGTCACTCAAAGGAATAGCTCAATGACACTAAAAATATTCCCAGTCCTACAACTCATATCTTCCCCAAAACTTGAAAATACTCTTTTGTGTAGGGGTACAGGTAACTAATTGAAATGGCTCCTTTTATTTCTGAGTTCAAAGGTGAAGAGTGAATTAGTCTAAGAAAAAATTACCGTAACTTATATATGGCTTAATAATTTTTCATACCACGTTCAATATTTTTTCTAATTTAGTTCTCTGTGTGATCTCATGAGACAGAGACATTATTATAAACCATGTTGCAGATATGAAACTGAGGCCTAGAAAGATTAAAGGGCTTGTTCTGGGTCAAATGGCTAACAAATGTGTATGTGGTTATTTAAAAATATTTTTAATATCTCCTGCAAAGGGTTGCAGCCCATGAGTTTGCAATTCACGTGAAATCTTTCATTTAAAAATGTGTCTGAGCCCTACTGAATGGAGGTTTCTAGGAAAAGTGTTCTTCAGTATTAGTTTTCTTTATATGGATCCTAATATATTTTTGAGTCCTTATGTATTTAAAATAACCTAAATTTGTTATAGTTTAAGCTGAAAGGACAATTTGGAATTATTTGCCTTGCTTAGAACCAACTTAAATGACCTCCTAAAAAAAAAAAAAAACACACACAAGAAAATGTCACAAATAATTGCTTTAGTACCAAATGTTCTTGGATGGCATATTATGATTTCACAGCTCCTTGATGGTAACTTGATGATATCTGCACATTAATTTTTTGGCAGGTATTACTCAACTACCTTTTGTGCTACATAACCACAGAGGAGTCTGTGGGCGGTCAGTATTCATGAAAAGGAGTTTTCCTTGTTAACATACCAATTAATGGATCCATTTCAATTGGAAGGTGGTGGGCTTGATCCAAGGAGTATCCCGGAGCCCCTCGGAGGCCTAGAGGTAAGTTACCATGGAATTTCTTAATAAGCAGCATTTTATGATCATCGCACAGAAGAAACATTTGCTTAAAAATCATTTGGGAAATTATTTTAAGAATGACCCAGTCATGCTACATGTCTGCAGATAGTTTTAAAAGAAATCATCACACCAGGGACTGAGGCTTTCCACAGAAGGTGTCGAGAGCTGGGAAGCGTGTTCTCATCCCAACCACGAGAACAAGTGGGATGAAACAGATGATCACAGTACGCCTTGAACCCTTCGGAGAGCTAAATCGCTGGGCAGCCAGTGGGCCTGAAATCTAAGAAAAGGCCGTGCCTGCCAGCAGGGGTGGCTGTGAGCACAGACTGGCTCACCTGGGCAAGTCAGAGGGGAGAATGGGGCTCCCCACTCACTGGGCCTTTTCCTGATACATGACAAATCGACTGAATTTAAAACATTGAGCCACACCTAACATCAACCTCAGTAAAAGTGACTTCCAGAGGATTAATGTTTAGGGCTTGAATGAGTTCATTAGTCATAATATTCTTATGTGTGATTACATAACATCTACAGTACTTTTGAATAATTCTACAGAAAAGTTTAATCCTTATAGTTTTCTCTCAGCGAGGAACATTTCTCGAGGCTTACACTCCTGTGAGTAATAAAGCCACATTTCTTTTTCTTATGGTGTTGGCTACGTATTTCTGATTGAATGGCAGCAGTTCTACCACATGATAATAAACCAATACCCATAAAACAGGTGCATTTAGAAACTCTTAGGAGATTAAGCTATGGTATAAATCACTCTGTTTTTGAGAGCATTGCTGAAGTCAGTAGAATAGAAAGATTTAGCTTAATTCACGTGGCTCATCCATTCAGTCCTGGAGACAGTGGCAGTCCTGGGGCCTCCAGTGAGATCTTAAGTGGTCAGCTGGGCCAGTTAAACCATTTGATTCTGTCCTGGTTAAATTAGTATCAATATGTCTAATTTTTACAACAGAATTATATCACTTTACGATGCACTGGCTGGCCCTTTCAGGAATGAGTTTGCCAAAAACACACATGACATCACCAGACAATTCAGATTTTGTCTGTTCTCAAAGATCCCAAGCTCCCCAAGGAGAGGATGGTGTCTGTCTAGTTCACTGCTGCATCCCCCATGCGTGGGGCCTGTACAGTGGCTGTTCAAATGTTTGCTAAATAAGTGAATGAAGTGCAAGAAAGAGGATTTGGAACCATCATCCATAAAATCCAAATTCAAACTCACTTCCGTTTAACATGGGATAAAAGTGTTCTTTTCTTTTTTTCTGAGGGGCAGTGGTGGAGTGACGTGGCCTAACTCAAAATATTTGCAGAACTGCTTCAATTTATCACATACTTGCTGAGTACTTGACATTAGCCAAGCGTTCTGCAAGGTGCTAACAAACAGCAGCAGTAAGGAGGACAATTAGGGTCCTTTAGTTAGTGTGGCGATTATTTGCTCTGCTGCGTTTTGTAGGTAATCGGCACAGCGGCCAGACCCCTCACCCCACCTTAGCTTCACTGCGACTTTTGAGACCCTTGAGGAAGCGGCTGGCTGGGGCACACGTACCGACTGTGTTGTGCCATCGGTTCACTGCAAACAGCCTGCTGCAGGTCACTGTCACCACCGCAGGGATGGTCAGGTGGGGGAGGGTGTTGGCCGCCACGTGGGTCACCGGAGAATTGGATGGAAACTTCAGCACCATGATCACATCTTGCTGCATCTGATCTTTAAACATGAGCGGACTCTGTGGAAGGAAACACTGTTGAATAGGAAGGGAAAGGAGCGGAAGAAAACAAAAAGGGTGACAGTTAGTGGAATTCTCCAGGGGGAACGCCGTGAACACAGACAAGGCTAGCATGCACCCAGAGAGCACAGCATCTAACTTCCTGCTGTGAGGACCCAGAGGAGGCAGCAAGGACTCTGCAGGGTGGCCCGGGTGTCAGAGATCACTCGCTTATGAATGGCGAGGTGCGGTGTGACCATCGCCAGACTGCACTGTGCCTACTGAGCATACAGACATGTCCGCACGATGTCCCGTAATTATTCAATGCAGTTAAAAACAGCAGTTTGGTGGAAAAATTAGTCAAGCCAGTGACTGACACTACTTACATGAAATTTAAAGTGAATTGATTGATATTATCATGTTACAACTGGTTGATCTGGGTCATGGCTGCAGTTGAAAGAATTAAAATACAACAGCACCCCCCTTGCCAGAGCTTTGCATGCGTGTCTGCTGCGGCACTACTGATTGTTTAAGGTTTATGCCTCTGTTCCCCCTTCTAGACTGTGAACTCACAGAGGGCTCAGGCTTCTTTTCTTTGTAATTTCTGTTTCTCAAACAACTAGCATATGACTTAATAGGAAGCAGACACCGTAGGTGTGACTATTAACTACTATAAAACATTATACATATTACCATATAAAAACCACAACAGGGGTGATGGAAATAACCATTATTTAGCTTTTATTGATGTTTTCTATACAGATGAACTCTCTGCTACATAAACTCAGCAAGCTTAGATTTTCTTTATAAACAGCTCCACGCCAATTTAGTCTCTAACAATTTTCCCTAGGAAAGTAATGAATTCTGACCGGGCATTTCTCCAGGACAAATGTTTTTATTATTATTATTAAACAGAGAAAACTAACACAGGAATAAAACTCTTCTGCCAAAGCACTTCATAAAATAAAGGGTTAGAGATATTCTCTTGGACAGTTTATTGAGAATACTTCATCCCAAGGCTTGAGGCTCCGAGGCCACATCTCTGTTTCTACACCCGTGACGAGGTGTTTGTATGTGAACAGCGGGCTTGGTGCAAAGCCTTCTGCTTTGTCATTCAGAGTCCGATTTCAGTCTTAAGAGTTCATTAATGACTAATCAAGGGGGCTGAAACCATTTGGCTAAGTGAGAGCAGAGAGAAAAATATGTTTTCAAGCACATTTACTTTTGTGTTTTACTAGGAGAAGGACCATTGAGTCCTTAAAGGTGTAGATGACATATCTGCCTCTGTATTGCCAACGTCTCACACATAGAAGGGACTCAATGCAAACTTGTTAGGCAAAGACAGAATAAATGAGAGATGAGAACAATACTTCCACCACCAATAACAGCACTTATATTATGGGCCATATTCCAGAGCTCTTTACTCCAAAATTGAGTTATGTGCTGCCTTGATAACTACAGAAAAATCAATGAGCTGTAATTCATTTTGCAAACACATTTTTGCCTTGAAGCATTTCTTATTTCAGTAAAAAAAAAAATCAGTGAAAAATCACAGTTTAGAAGACAAATTCTCAGGCAACTTTTTACCTTCTTCAAATCAGATAAAGAGGGAAAGGTTTATGATTTGCTTGCCAATAAACTGAAAAGGGACAATTTTGTTATGGACTTTAAAAGTTCAGATTAAAATGAAAAGATGATTACCTTTCCCCTTTCAAAATGGAAATAAAAGTTTAATATAAGAAGGTGCTGCTGCTGCTGACACCAGCTAACGTTTACCGAGAATTTGCTGCACGGTATGCAGGCATTATATATCCCCAGGGCAGATGGTTATTTTTATCTCCATGTTACAGATGCTGAAATGTAACCAGAGAGGTTAAACACCTCGCCCACGTTATTCACTAGTTAGTGGTGAAGATGACGTCTGATGGGGTCTGGCGCTGGGCGCTGGTTCTTAACCCCTCTGCCCACTGCCTCTCTGCAGCAGTCCACAAACTACCTTCATATTTCTTTGCTTAAAATGAACCACTCCCCTCCCTTGCTTTGCCCCAGAGATTAAAGTGGGCAATAACCTATTTTATTTATATCGTATTTTTCACTCTCATTTATAAATGGAATCCAATTTTGGTGCTGGTGTCTTTAAGCTTGTACATGTATGAGTGAGTTTATGCGGAGGCACTTAGAGGCAGAGAAGATGGCTATTTTTGTGAATCCAGAACTGGGCCAGCTGAAGGAGGGCATAAAGGCGAGAACTGCATTCTCCTCTGTTTCTCCCTGGGGTACCAGTATATACTTGGCCTGAAGAGCTAGCTAACCAATAAATTGAGAAGTCTTTAAAAATGCTGCTGAAGTCCCTGTTTTATTTGACCTTTACCCAGGTACAAAGAAAGGAAAAAAAAAAAAATCCCACCAGCTGATACGCCTTACCAGGTGCATGGCAGAGCTCCGAGGCGGATGTGGCTCAATGAGCAGCTGAGACGGTGTCTGTCCAAAGTTCTGTATCTGCGCCTCCATGGCCTGCCGGGGAAGGAGAGTGACTGTCATGATCAGAGTGCGTCGGCTGGAGAGGCCAATGCACTCTGATAAGGCAAGTGCTTCCCAAGTCAGCCGTGAACCAAGTCCAGAACATTCACTGGTTGCTCTTCTCTCAAGGTGCAGGATCATCTAAGTGTTAGTATTTTGTGGACAAACGTTGCTCGTCCTTCCAAACATGCTTCCGTTAACCAAGTCCCTGTTCTTATTAAGAAGCTGGGTTGAACGTGGGAATGTTAACCTGTGAGTACATGCATGTAGCAGAGGCCCAAGGACACTTTTAACACTAAACACAACACACATATACCTTAATAAAGTCCTTGGTAAGAAGGAACGTATGGGGATCTCTAATGAAATAAGCTTCTGGAATCTTAATGGGAAAAAAGAATGAGACATAAAAGTCCACCCGTGATTCAAAATAAAACTCAGAAAACCCTGTGTTCCAATCCATACAGACAGCAATCAGTAGAAAGAACACTGAGACTTTTGTATAATAATTAAATATGACCAGATATTACTACAAAAAATATATTTTTGCATGCTATGTTATTTTAAGATGAATCCTGGAATATTATTTATGAGACAGGAACTCATTTCTCTCAAAACTTCTCTGAAACTTGATAATTAACCTAAAGAGAAAATAATTCTTTGGGAATCCCGAGCTATGTCACATTTCATTAAAGCCTATGCAGATGGAAATATTCAGGTTTTATGGCTTCCAATGAATTAAAAATAATTTTAGACCTCAAAATTTTCCAGACAATACCATATGCCTTCTTTGTGTGTGAGTCAAGAAGAGAGAGTCTTATAGATAGATTTAAGTGTTTCTTCTACATACAAATTCTACAGGCAAAAGACTTTTATGTATGAAGCTAGACTAACAGAAATATTTTTCCAAAATATTGTAAGCATGTAATTTAAGTCAACAAGGAGAAGCACAATATTTACTACGATCATTACTCTGTTACCATGCTAATTTTCCCCCTAAAATTGTGTGCAATTTGGTTGCACATAAAAGTGAAATACGGAACTCACTGCTGAGTGCTAAGGAGTGCAGGTAAGGGAGACAGCTCTCCACACAGGCAGCTCTGCCACGAATAGCACCACCATCTATGATTCTCATTTATAAAGCACTTAGATTTAACAATCTGTCCTCTCAGACTGCATTTCAAGAAAATGTTTATCAATAAAAAGGCAAAATTGCAAATTTATTAGCAATATCAAACACAAATGCATCATTGTCTGCCATATTTTAGCAAGTGCACAAAGTGGGGCTTTGGGTCTTTCATCTGCAGAGACAGTGGGATGAATGATTCCATCTCTTTAAGTGCTGTCCAATTTTAATGTGTACATTTATTTGCATGGTGTCCACTCATACACAAAGTGTGACTATTTAACTAAATTGTATTCACATAGATACCGCCATACTTTACCTCCCCAATGCAAGATTTATGATTATAAAAGGGGGAAGAGACCATTTCTGGTTAGGTTCCCATTATTCACAATACACTCTTGAGAACTACTTGAAAAAAAAAAAGCGGTGACGTTATTGTTGCAGCTGCCCTCGTTAGAAAATGTCCAATACTCAGCTTAATGTAACATGAACAGCTGAAGTCTCCCATAACCGCTACTACTGCTTGTGTTTTCACTCCTCCAGAAAGAGGGCTGGGGTGGGGCTGGGGAGACAGGAGTGTAATCAAACACACTTCAATCTCTAGATCAGCGCCTTGCACGTAGTAAGTAGCCTTTTGATGCTCATAGAAGGACCAAATCAACAAACATGATTTGCTTGACTTAAATGTCATTTCTGAAAGGGAAATTTTAAAATTATACTGGAAAATGTTAGGAAACAGACTTCATCCCAGACCTGTACAGTTTTCTTCAGTGGCTCCTACCTCTCATCGTTTTACTGAGCAGAGTGCACACGCATACGTATTTTAGATTGACTCTCGAATGGCAGCAGGACAGCTATTAGGCTGCGATTGACCTCACTCTTTCATTAAGACAGTCTGTTCCCTACACTTAACATTTATTTCTCTTAAGACTAAGCTGAACCCCTTTTCCTTGTCATCTACATCACAAGCCTTCCTGACCTAAAGGGTCTTATTCTAATGTATGTCTTAGCTATCTTGTGATCCTGCCTTCCAATAAATTATTCCTTACCCTCTGATATAACCATGTACAGACTTTCCTGATCCTGAAAAACAGACTGTCTCCTTTAAGTTCTATTTCTTGTTATTACCTAAATTTTGAACAGGAGGCGAGCACCTACTGATTTTTCTTCACCAGCTCCTCCTGGTATTTTCTCTCCCCTCCCACTCTTAGGAAGTCACCAGTGTCTTCTTTGTCCTCAAAAAGGGAGGCGCTTTGCATAGGAGCACACCCGGGGATAGACCCAGCCCTTCCTGCAGACCATGTAAGCGCAGCAATGGAGTAGCTGTTCTGAGAATCACTCCCTGATGTAGGAGAAAACGCCTCCCTTCATGCTAACTTTGGGCAGAGTTCTAAATCCTTCCCAGACGCCTCGATCACAATGACTGTCCTCCATATTCTCACAGCACTTTTTTTTTTAGCTGTTGTGGTTTGTCTTTTAATCATGGAATTCTACCCACAGTTCTTCACATATGTCTGTCTGATCAGACTGACTCTCTGCAGATCGAGGCTGTGACTTAGTCCTAACAGAGTCCAAAAACATTGTTGAACGTACAACGGGGGCGATGGTGGGACACGTGGCCGAAATGGAAAGGTGGCCTACAATAGGAAAATCACTCCACAGCTATTAACTTTTATAGCTCAACGCCACAAACACTATTCAGTCAACAAACGTGGGTTGGACGCTCACTCTAAGCACAGGCATCAGAAGTCAGTTAGCAGACTGCCCTCAGGACCCATGATGGGCAGTAGCTCAGGGCACCCAGGAGTCGGAGGGCCATGGGAGCCGCCCAGAGTGCCGGGGAGCCCAGGGGAGCGGTGTGTGTCTCTGGCTCGGGGTGGAGGGCGAGAAGGGAGAGTAGGACTGTCAGCAAAGGGACTTCCAGAAAAAGGACATGAACTGAGGCTTTAAGTTCAAGTAGGAAGTGGCTAGTCAAGAGCATGAAAAATTTTTTACCATAGAGAATTTTCCCATTGATAATTTCCAAATATATCAAGTGAAATAAAAACCACCCAAACAAGTACTTACAGTGAATTAGAAGGTGGGTATTTTCTCTTTATTAATAGAAATGGCATTTAAAAACTTCAACATATTTCTATTTATATAGTGTTCTGCATGGGTCAGAGAGACTTAATGGTAGCTTTATTTATTCATAAAATGTATCTTTACTGAGCACCCATGTGCTGGCTACCATTCTAGATATCTTGGCTTCTCTCAGGAAAATCAGAAGAGCTGGCAACTGCCCTTCAGCATTCCTGCATGGCAACATGCATCCAGTGCCAGGGTATGGGGACCCTTTTGAAATGCCCACCACTCACATGATCCATGCATGCACTGACATCTGGCCTGCTTCCCTAGCTCATTCCACCTGACTCCTATGGACTTCAGCATTTGTGAACCCACTGAAAATCAAATACCAATACTTTAATTTGTATGACAAGAAATCTATCACTTTTTGTAAATACAACAGTCCCTGCTTCTCTGCAGGGGATATGCTCCACGACCCCCAGGGGTTGCCTGAAACCGTGCATAGCACCAAATCCTGTAACTACGATGTTTAATCCTATACATACGTACCTAAGATAAAGTTTAATTGATTGACTGGGCACAGTGAAAGATGAACAACGATTGATACAAGATAGAACAATTATAACAACAAACTGAAATAAAAGTTATGTGAATGTGGTCTCTCTCTCTCTCTCTTAAAATATCTCACTCTGCTCCCCTTTTTGATATGAGATGCTAAATGCCTATGTGCTGAGATGCAGTGAGGTGAACGATGCTGGTGCTGCGATGTCGTGTTAGGCCACGATCGACCTTCTGAGGATAGGTCAGGAGCAGGCACCTCCCACTGCAGCTGACCGCAGGGACCTGAAACGTGAATGTGAAACCCTGGAGAAGGAGGAATGACTGTAAGGAACTTTCCAGTGAAGAAAGAATGAACTGGTACCCACGTGTGAGCTCACGAATATGTATACTGCGTACGGCAAAAGACGAAAACTCGGTCTGTAAGCCTGTTGTTCTAATCAGCTTACTTCATCAAATCCCAGATGTTATCCACTATTAGAACTTCATTAGTTTGTATACTATTAAAAAGTAAAAAAAAAAATGTTGCCAATTAAACTATGATACGCCATTCACTGTAAGACACATTATGATTTGGAGTGCTGAGATGTGACGACAGTGTGTGTTCAGAATAAGGTATAGCAACTTCCTATAGATAATAAATAGCAGTATCTTAAGTCTTATGTATTTCATATAAATCTCCCATAGGTAGCAGCTTAAAACACTAGATTTTTCAAAACAGATGTGTGATCAACAAAACCTTCGGTGTTTGACAAATATGTGTTTATTCGTGAATAAAGTTTTCATTGGTGGACAGCCCTTTGGTGGGATAGCATGAAAATATGGATCTGCTTATACTTAATGACTCTCTCTTAGGCCTTTATAAACACTAAATTTGGTATCTTAGACTTAAGCTCCTTATGTGCTCCCATTTAATCGCTATTTCCTTTACTTGCTGAGATTTAAGAAAGATGAAGTGCACAAAGTATACTAACTAATATTAGGTATATACCTTTTTGAGTATGTGTATTTTTTTCTCTTTTATAACTTCACCCAGATCAAGATGGAGGGCTTTGGGATGGAACTGGGAACGTTCCGTATCTTGATCTGGGTGTTGTCTACATGGGGTTACACATATGTAAGGTCCTCTCCTGTCCCTCCCCAGCCAATTATTCCCACTTCTCACCCTCTGCTAAGCTAATCACTATTTTTATATTAATCACCTAGCATTTTTTCTGTTCTCGAATTTCTGATAAATGGAATCACACCAGTCCTTTTCATGTCCATCTTTCTTTGATCAACATAATGTCTGTGAGATCCAACCTTGCTGTCGTGCAAAATGATAAGTTTGTTTTTTACTGGTGTGTAGTGTCCCGTCAAATTACTGTATCTACCACTACATATCAGTTCTGTTGACGGACATCTGGGCTATTAACAGTTCCAGGTTATTGTGAATAAAGTTGCTTAGAAAGTTCTTGCACATGTCTTTTGATCAGGTAAAGCAGTCATTTCTGTTGGGTGCACACCTAGGTGTGGGACTGCTGAGTTTAGGGCAGAAGTGTGTAGTTTTACTGCCAAATTGTTCTCTGAGGTGGTTATACTGATTTTGTGTATTGACTTGTGTAGGTATTTGTGAATGCAGAATGCAGTGA